AGTAGAATATGGCGCATCGTACCTTGTACAAGCTGCTTTTAAGCTTGTAAATTGACCCTTATTGTATGCACTGATTGCAAAAGCAATTTGACCTTCTTTCCGAGACATTTGAACAATAATTGGGTAAGTTATGTAGATTGAAAGTGTGTAGGGTGGTCAATGGTGGGGTAAAAAATCCGGACTGCTTATAAATCCGGACTCCTTATGAAGTACGTTATACGACTTTAATGGCCTCTTGGCGATAAAGCGCCGCTTTTTAATATAGATAGAGTGGCTCCCGGTGGACAAGAAAAGTGGCAGATATTTATCTTTTAACTATTAGCGTAAGTTGGTTCTAAGTACTAAATGTTTTAAATATCTAGAGCAATTAACTTATCTTTTATTATACTATTGTTTTTTATAATTACTTTGATTCGATATAACTAATATAATATAATGGTTTTTAGTTAAGTTAGGATAAGATAAATGAAGTTTAAACTATTAGCGTAAGTTAATTCTAAGTACAAAAATATTTAAAATATCTAGAATAATTAACTTTATAGTACTATCGTTTACGAAAAATCACTTTGATTATTCGATACAACTAATATAATGTAATAGTTTTTAGTTAAGTTAGGATAAGATAAAAATGAATCTCTGCCACTTTTCTTGTCCACCGGGAGAGTGGGTACAAGGCAAATCGCAAATTTCTGTCCTGCCAGAGTGCGAATAACCTTAAAGAAATAGAAGGAATATGGATTAGAGACGTTATTTAATAGACAGCGTTTGTAATGGCAATTGCGCTCGAAAATCGTATACCCTATATCGTGTTCCCTAGTATGCCTCCTCTTCCCTAGGAACATACGAGTAATAGGTAGCTACCTAGTTAGCTTATACAATTGTTTTCTGAGGTATAGTACGTACGAGTACAATCCTGGAGTTCTGAATAGCTTCATGTTCTAACCTCGTAGAAGGTCTTTAGATAATGTAATGTAGCATTAAAATGTAGGCCTACGAGACATTTGTCTTACATTTTCGGGCCTTCGCCCACGGCTAGGGACGAAACAGGGTGTAAAAGTGAGTTTACAGGGCGAAAGGCTATTGAAGTCGTGTTATCGAAAATATCTATGTAGTGTGGATGCATTTGCACGTCATTGGATGATGTACTGCCTAGATATTTTGGGGGCATGCGTCACGTTTTTTGGGGTGGGGTGAGAGGGGGGACTTTTTGAGGGGTATGGTTATTGTGTGGTTTTTGGAAGTTGGATGTTGTTTAGGACATTATGAGAGGGATAGTTCTTATCCCTTACTTCCACAATCCAGTCCGGGATGCCACATTTACAGCCCTCTCCTCATGTCTCTGTTGCCTGGGAGTTGGAGGGTTGTTTATTCAGTTTTTCCTTCATCATTTCCTAACTCATCAATTCCTTAGAATCCATCCGTTCTCGAGAACGACTTGGTCATCACCAGTGATAGAATCCGCCACTCAAATTCCCAACCCTTTTCCATAAAAATGGTCACTGTCAGGAACATACCTCCCTTCGGAGACTCGATTTCTTCCTCGATTCGAACTACTTCCACCCTTCCAATTCGGTCTACCCAGCACTCACAGCTTCCGATCCGTCCAGTGCCATGCGATACCATCCTTGAGAGATGTACGGAGAGTGAGAGGAATGATGGTGATGTTGGGATGGTGGATGGGATACCAGGGGCTGATTTGGTGGATGTGACGATCCCGGATTGCCAAACCAAGGAATCGGGTTCTCTGTTGAAGAAGGTTCATGGTGAACCTTCGTTTTCTAGAGCAGCGGAGAAGGATGGCACAATTACTCAACCTGGGTTTGATGTTGAGGGTGTTGAAACTGGTAAAGGCAAAGGAGTCGACAATCACCTTCCTTCTAGTACCAATAAGTATGATCGCAAGGTACGATTCCAATCACCAGAAGCGACATCCGAACCAAATGTGAACCCAAAACAAGACGAGAACCAAGAATATCCCTCACCAGAGGAAACCAAAACTCTCGATAAACTCGATCAAATCTCACAAAAGATCTTGATGATCAAAGGCACGAAGGCTTCTCAGGAATCAGATCTCGATCGAAAAGTTCGTCGTGCATTGGTTCATCAGCGGAAGTTAAAGGATGAGAGACAGAAGACGATTGAGACCGAGGGGAATGTCAGGATGGCGTGGTTTATACTCGCTATCAAAACGGAGTTGGCATTCATCAGGGACCGGATTTTGACTTTCCATTGGGGACGAGGGGAAATCTTGGAATTGGAGAGAAAGAGGAATCCTGAAGTTAGGGTGGAAGTCGTGGTCGAACAACCGGGGAAGGGGATGGAGGTGGATCTGAGGCAGATGAAAGAGAAGGAAGATCGGATCATTGAGGCTCACTATCTTCGCGCTGGCAAGACGATCGAGGAGGTGAAAGCACTCTTCCAGCCCTCTCTCGACCCATGGGATAGGGATTATAGGAAGATGGCAGGGATTCTGGATAAATTTGAGGATCTCTGGGATAGCTATCGTGAAGACGAAAGGTTCGTCCGTGGAGAGGAGACATTATATTCCATTCCCTCAACCATCAAACCCTTCCTCTTCCCCTCGGACCTCGCCCTGCATCCCGCCATAACACCTCTTGAGAAACTCGCACAGGGCGTGGGAGAAAGAATGGCTGAATACTTGATGGTAGACCTGTCCTCTGGTATTTCAGAATCGAACGTTCAGTTCTGGGAGCACATCCGTGAGAGCGAGCTTTCGTGGTTGGGAAATTTTATTGAGATGGAGTTGTTGGAGTTGGATGGAATGTATGGGCGTGGAGGGCAGTTGGAGGGACGATATGAGGCGTGGGTGAGGAGATTTGAACGCAGTGGTACAGTTCCTGATTGGGATGGTATACCAGTCGAGGCGTGGGATATGTCGAGGCCGGGGAGTCCGTGTGTGGGTGAGGTTAATTTGATGGTGGAGAAATGGCAGGTTGGACTTCCGAAACCTTGATCTTGATGGAGGTATTCTGCGTCGTGAGTTCTAGGGGATTTCAAGGTACGAGTGTGCTTTTGTTCTTTGATTCGTCTTGTTGCTAAAGGTCCACGGCCGCGGGTATATGGAATGGTTTGAAAGTTACGAAGGCATGAAAGTTAGGGTGGATGTAGGCATTTTAGAACTTGGTGCGCATGATCTCTACTCGATTGAACTATACTTGAATAGAAAACACTTACCAAAAAATGAAGTTTCTTTTCCTCCACTTAACTCCTACTATTATAACTCTTATCCACGCGACATATATAAGCGAACATTGCTCATACCTATAGAGCTAACTTACTGTTCTTGTCTAGACCCCGCTAGGTGTTAATAGACGTACGAGACTTTCTATAGTGAGCAGGAGTGGCTCGAGGGGAGTAGAACCGTTATATGGCGACCATGTCAGGATTGATTTTACTACTTCATGGTCAAAATCGGTAAAGCGAAAGATAGCACAAGTTTACAAGTCCTGGTAATTAACCGCGCTATCGACTAGGCGGATTCTAGCTCGTGTGGGCTAGGTCCTAGAAGAGTCCCAAAATAGGGCAAATGACGCTAGGGGGGTGCCCTAGGCTACAGGGGGTGTAAACGAATGAGCTAATTTACAAGAGACAATTTAAAGAGAAGTTCCACTTTCGGAACAGCCCTTATCCTTAATTAGTTTTAGAACTAGGGTGAGACAAAGGAGATATATAATTAAACGAGAAGGGAAAGAAAAGGAGGCGTGTCTAACTAGAGACAGATTTTGGTGTAGAATTCGGTCTTAAAGTAGACCAGGCTAAAAAGCTTCTCGCAGTGATGTCCAAAGAGCAGCTGGGGGTTCTTCTTGGCCTTAGCTAAAAGCTTAGGGTCTTTGTTGTTTGCTAGCTTGCAGAAGAGTAGGTGGAACTGGGTCTTAGCCTTCTTACACTTACAATTCCCTGACTCAAGTAGCGAGTCGAAGTGAAAGTAGCGAAGATGGTAAGCCGTAAAGTCTCCATGTCCAGAACGAGCAGCAATTAAGCGAGCGAGGACCTCTCTAGGTAGCTGGAGAGATTTAGGCTTTGAGGACCAGGTGTAGAGCCCTAGGTCCTTATAGAGAGCTGGAAGTGTCGTGCTCCAGAGCTTCTTCGCAAGCGCAATCCCTGTCTCCTTTACCTCTCTCTTAAGCGTGGCTGTACAGAGTAAAGGGGAGGGTTCAGGAGAGGGTAACCGTGCTGCTCTCCCTGCAGCTTTATCTGCAATCTCATTGCCTAGGATCCCTATGTGGCTAGGGCACCACCTTGTCTGTATTTTCCCAGGGTACAATTGAGCTAATTCGTTGACCTTGTTGAAGGTTTCTTGCGAGGTGCCGCAGGATCGGTAGGTCAGCTGTAGGGTAGCTTCGAGGTTGTCGAGGCAAATCCAGCACTTTCTGGCCGACGACCAGAAAGGGGAGTCCAGGGCTAGTTCTAGGCCATGTAGAGCAGCTCTAGCCTCTGCATCATATATCTCTAGCACCTTGCCAAAGGAGAAGATCTTAGTGTTGAGAATAGCCCCTCCTCTTGTTAGACAGACACCCCCGCCAGTGCTCTTGTCGTCTAAGCGAGAGCCGTCAGTGAATACTACTAGATCAGTAGAAGGAACCAGAGCTAGGAATTCAAGGAATTTGGCCTTAAAAGAGCTCTTGTCTCCACCAGGGTCAGGTCCTGCTACTTCAATAAGGCGGGCCTGTCGGTTGAACCCCCTGTCCCACGGAGGGTCTTGTATTGGGTCAATCTCTTCAGAGGGAGGGAGGGCTCTATAAGAGCGATAGATAAGCCTAGCCTTAGGGCTAGGGCTATTCACACATCGTTTGAGCGGGTGGGCAGGGTCTAGCCGCCGGATCCTGGCTTCTAGTGCTTTACTTCTTGCTATAAGGGCAATTTCAGGGGCTAGAAGGCCAGATTCCATGAGGAGAACTGAGATAGGAGTAGTCTTGTATACTGGGAGGATAATCCTAGCACACTTAGCTACTACTCGGTCTAGGAGAGTCAGGTGACGGCCAATTCGGTTGTTTGTAGTCCCTCCTTCTTTGGCTCTTGCTCGTCTAGGGAATTATGTTTCGCTTCCAAAGTAGGCGATTGATAGAATACAAGCGGTAGTCGCTTGTTTTAGCAGGTAGGAGGGAGACCCTCTTATTGTGTTTGTTGTCCCTTTTAGAGCATTAGCTACTAGCGTGGCCTTACTTGTCATCCTTTTAACATAGTTGTAGAAAGTAAGACGAGGGTTAAAGAAGATGCTAAGCCAACGAAGCTCTTGGGTTGGCTCTATTGTTCTGCTCCCTACTATAATAGAAGGCGGAAGGCGGAAGGCGGAAGGCGGATGCCCCTCCCTTTTTGCTTTCTCTTACGAGAAAAGTGGATAAGTTCAGACTTCTCTGCGTCAAA